CTTTTCTTTGTAAAAACTTCAATTGAATTTCAATAAAGTTAAAGGCATAGTCTCACCATTAATATTTAAAAAAAAAAAGATGACCTATTCAAATCTGATATTGATGAGATTGTTGACCTATATTGTTAAGTAATCTTGGTTAGAATTGCCAGACTCTACTAAGATACATATATAATATTAATTATATTTTTTTATTTATAAATAATATCCAAGTTCAATTATAATATCCAGCTATCCAACTCACATATTCTGGAATTGATCACTTTTCCTCTTTAATCCTCATATGCATCTCAATATTATGAACCACATAACTGCAATAATTAATAAGATAAGAAAAATATATACTGATAGAAGTGACATTAAAGTACTTGATACAACAAGGACCACTTTTATTCTTTTTATTGGAATCTGAGAATTCAATTTAATCAATAGGATATATGTGCTTTAGCACCAGCTCTGCTGTTATTTTCCAGCAATTATATAATACTTTGTGATATTTTTATTATATAGTTTTTAGATTCTGCTTTCTTATATTAAATGTATTAGAAAAAAATCTGAAAAATTATATGATTTTGATTATATTATAAAAATGCAAGATTATAATAAGATTGATACTAAAGCCCTTACCTATGCCAAAAGATGTGAAGGACAATGCTTGGCTAAAGTTAGATTAAACTCTAATATTTATTTATGGGATTGTAAAAAGTAGCATCAATAGGAAGCATCCTATAGAGATATGAAACAAAATTATAGATGGTGCAATAGTTGTCCTCATATATTTGAAAGATTATGTCAATATATATTCAAAGAATTATTAAATAAAAAATTCCTATCTCCAAAATCTAAATTTTTAGAAGGCTTATAACTTGATGAATATAATGAGAAATTATATTTGGCTTTTGAATACAGTAGCAATTAGCATTATCAAATCATTCCTTTTTTCCATCCACAAGGACAAATTAATTTAAATACACAAATTCAATGTGGTTAGAAGAAGAGAGCATTCTGTTTTAAGGAAGGTATAATTCTTATCACAATTCCTTATTGTGTTGTTGATCTGCTAACTTTCATTAAGAGTGCCTTGAATGCATTCAGTTTTCTCTCAATATCCACCTAAGAGGTAAATGCATATTCTTTACAATTTGAAGTTCTTCTCTCACAAATGAATGTCTTGGACTGTTATGTAGTTTGTAGAGAACTGGCTGGTTATTTTTTCTTGAAAATGATTTGATCGAAAAAATTTTAGAAGACCAGTTACAATCAGTAGCTCTTCTTCTTTAGCCTTCTAGTTCACTAGGTTCTAATAGATGCCAAACTTTAACATCAGATAATAGGAGGAATTTATTATAACCTATAGACCTTTTGTGCTTGACAGCTGGATCTGCAAAGATTTTCTCACCTTTTAATGATTTTTTTACAGCTTTATTGAGTGATATGTGTATTAACTTCATAGGGAAATCATTATATTTATCATCATTAATGTAAAGACTGACAACCCACTCCCTAGATCTATCAGTCAATAGTAAATATAAGTCTATAGCATCTTGGTGAAAAAAGGCATGCTTTTCAAATTCTTGGTGATTTTGCTTGGTAATAGCCACACTTCATTTAGATTTAGCATACTGAATTCTCATGTCATATTTGAGAAATAAATCCCTATACTCATTCATATATTCAGTTCCTTTATCTATGATTAAAACTTTTGGCTAACTAAGTAGGCAATTTGAATCATCATAAATTTTCTAAATTTCTCTAGCCATTTGCATAACTGTTTTATCAATTAAAATGAAATTGTGTCGATATCTAGTTGTAATATCCTTTATTACTCCTTAGTATTTATAAGCTTGATTGCCAACTTTATTGTAAGGCATAGGTATAGTATCAGACTGATATACTTTATTCAATATTTGTATATTGTTAAAAGAAGCATATTGAATAAATTTTGGCCGAGGCTTATGGATCTGATATAAGGCCTGTTTGTTAAGCCAATTTTTTATTATAGCCAAAGTGAACTTATATCCTGTCTTCTTACAAGCATCCTGCATTTTTTTAGCTATCTAATAATAACCTTTAGAATTATAATAAATTTTTTGCAAAGTAATCTCTTAATCCAAATTACAGGCCCTTTGTGGGTTAATATAAATTATGGGTTTTTTCATTTCTTTGTTTTATTATAGTAATAAAAAACATAGAGGAGTTATAACAAACCAACCAAGAACTCTATAAGGTGGTATCGCAATTAGCAGAATCAAATAGGAATTTTGAACAGTGACTATATACTTTAAAAAGAGTTATAGGTATATGGGAAAAAAGAATACAATTCCTTGAAGAAGAGTTAGGTAATGCTATAGAACTTTCTATACAAGAAAAAAAAAATTAACAAAAGAAATCTCAAAACTAAAAAGAATTGTTCATCAGCTTGAAGAAAATAAAAAAAAAGACAAGAAAATCTCAAATAAGGATAAGTTAATATCAGAATTTGATGAACATGAAACAAAATTAAAAACCAGAATATGAGAAATATCAAAATTAGCTGAAAATACACCTAAAGCACAAGATTATACAACCAGATTAGTGAATGAGAATGAATGTCTTAAATGAAAAATAAATATGATAAAAACAAATCAAATAAATAGGATTAGTAAAATAAATCAACAAAAAAATTATATTACAGAACTGCTTTGTTAAAATTTTGCATTAATATTATTAAGATATCGAGATAGATTAGAACTTATAAATACATGAAAGACATTAGAAAATGCACAAGCATAGAATTATAATGAAGATGAATCTATTCTGATAAAAATTCTCAAGATAATTATACTTTTGATTTAGATATAGGCACAATAGCTGAATTGGCTAATGCTATAGACAGATCCTTAAATGATACAACAATATGTAAAACCATTTTAACAAATCAAATTAAAAGATCAACAAGATCAATTTGACATAAATATGCTAACCTGCAACAAGATCTGGTAAACAAACAGTAGAATCGTAATATATATAAGCAGAAGCAAGATTAGGCATTGCAGCAATTAGAAAATGAACGAGCATTTAAAGAATATTGGCGAGACCGAATATGTAATAGATATATAAAATGGAAGAATAAAACTAAGGATAGGCATATCAAATACAGAACTGTCAAAATAAAAGAGCTCTTGATGAATTTTAGTGAGATTAACTATATGATCAGTATAAAAAATAGAAGAATAAGACTAAAGATGAATACCAAATAATTCTGAATCAAAATCAGAATATTTTAAATTTACAATAACAAAATTTTGTATTAGTAAATAATCAGCAAAATTAACTGATGGCATTATTTGTAGGATTTGCACAACTAGAATTTCATGATGATAAAGAAGATTATGAAGATTTCGTAGATAGGTTCATATTATATATTATCTTAGCTAGAGTAAATAATGATGCAAATATTCTCACTATATTAGATCGATCCTTAAAAGAAGAAGTGAGAAAATAGTATCATAGAGAATTTAACAATAAAAATTAGGAGTTAGAAAATGTACTTGATAACTTTGGTATAGGTGCAACAATAGCACATATTCATGGTACAATGCAGGAGGTATAATGGGTGCAGTCACTTCTTTTCTAAATGTTTTACTTGTACTTACAGGTGCACAAATTATCTCTGCTCAAAATGTTGCTAAAGATTGAACAATAGCAGAAGGATGCTCAACTAATGCAGTACCAGTTGTACCAAATGCTAGAGAAGGTAATCCTATTGTTCTAGCAAGAGTTCGATCAGGACAAAGCTTCATCAAATAAAAAAACATTATCCAACTGCTAATAAATATGTAAAGATGTTAGAAATTGGAGCATTAAGACAAGGCATATATGAGAGTATACCTTCATTCTGGTCAAAAATTCAGAAATATGGCAATCAACTGAGTTATACTTTAGCACAGAAGAAAACCTATTTCTTATCTGAAGTTAGACCTGATATTAGAGATAAAATTTATAGAATTGATCAAACAAAACCCATTAATGATATTATTAATAGTTTGGCAAAACTTAAATTATGTCATAAAATATTATAACAGGCATCATCTCAACCTCACTATGCATCTATTGCTCCTGCTATTCCAGATATTATATCTTAACAACTAGCATTCCCCATGACTGATATGCAAAAAATAATTCAAGATGCATTTGCAAAACAGCAAGCTGAATCTAAAGCTAAAATGGAAAAATTAAAGGATGAATTTCAAGCACAACAACTACAAGTTGCAACAGTAGGAAATTTTCAACCTCCATCCAAGTTTTATCCTATAAAATCAGAAAAACCTCAGCAAGCATTTTATATAGTAAATCAAGAGGTAATAATATGGATCCACTTATCCAAGATTCAGATTACCTTAAATACCTCAAGTAAGCAAAAGCCTTATATAAAAAACCACAAAGATCCAACCAATCTGTCAGAATGAATAGAATAAAAGAAGGACTTAATGAAACTCAAGATACTATAAATCAGTTAGCAGACTAATTACAAAAAAAAATATATATAAAGAAATATAGAATTTGTGAAAAAACAGGCCATAGCAAGGGCAAATGCTCCAATCAACCTACAGTTCAATCTAATTATACTTGATCATATTTTACATCTCTTAAGTTAATATATCTCTAATACACACCTTCTAATTCAGATAATAGCAAGGAGGATGAAGATGGATATAATGAGAAAAATAATCAATAGCATGTCCTTCCATTCTATTTAGAAAAAAAAAACAGATATCATCCACAATAAGTAAGACATCACAAAATAAATTAGTAATTTTTCATGCAAATTTTTAGTTACAGAATCTAAACAAAATAAAAAAGTTACTATACCAAACCTTTTTTCAGAATCAGATAACCAGTTATTAGAATTATTATCTTTAGCAATATGAAAAAAATTATTAACTAGGGTATGGTGACCTAGTGAAGTGGATAGGTTGTCAACCCCCAAGTGGCAGGTCTAGAGTTCAAATCTCAGTAACAGTGAAAATTTGCAATTCTTTCTGTGTTATGGCTAACTGTCTTTCGTGATTGGTTGAGATAGGATACCTGTAACCCATATCATATCAGCCTAACTGGAAGGTCTAGGCATTTATGCAATGTTGTACAAAGGAACACAAACCGATACTGAGTGGTATGAACCCAAGATAAGTTCTTAGGCCGTATAAATCATGGGAACCAGGTAGAAGAACGGAAGCCCACTTGGAAGACCCAAGTAGAGAGGTAACCTGAACTTTTGATGGTGCTACTGTAAAGACTAGATCTATGAAACAGAGCTAGAACTTGTGAAACCAGGCAAAGAGCCAGCCTTTGAGGAGCGGCTGAATGAACCAACCAGGCCACCAGAATTTCCAAATTCTGAAGGAAAAAGTTACATGCTGGCAAACATATAAACTAAAAGTATATGGTTACGACCTGCCTTTTCGGGCTATCTGGTTTGGGAGCTTGGTGGAACTTGAATTGAATACCAAAGTAGTAGG